ACATTGACCAAGTCCTGACAACCCACATGTACTGCATAAATCAATGTGTGTAGATGATAAAGATGTAACTATGAGTAAACATGTGTTGTCTTAACCTTTTATCGTTATTTACTGCCCTTGTAATCCTTCTCCTGAATTATTTCTTGTCTCTGAGGGATGTTTATACAAGAATGTGAGAGGAGTACTGATAATAGATTTAAAACTACGTAAGTTATCGAAATGGGAACAACCTAAGAGTGAATAAAAATCTATATATACAATATATACCCACGTCGGAGGAGTAGTCTTGGTTAATTTCTTACGTGCTTTCCTAACAAACTTGCTGCTGTCAGGCATAATGTTGAAGTTATCACAACAGTTTCAGTGTTAGAGTTATCTTATAGTTCACCTTAAATTTCATTCCCCCACTGCCAGACGTATCTTACTAATTTCTCACCGGTTTTTCAATTCATTGCTGACAGATGTATTTGTAAATATTTTCTTCCTTGACTTTCTCTTCCTCGCTGCCTCACGTATGTTGATGTTTTCTTCCTTGACTTTGTCTTCCTTGCTGCCTCACGTATGTTGATGTTTTCTTCCTTGACTTTCTCTTCCTCGCTGCCTCACATATGTTGATGTTTCTCTTCCTTGCTGCCTCACATATGTTCATGTTTTCTTCCTTGATTTTCTCTTCCTCGCTGCCTCACATATGTTGATGTTTCTCTTCCTTGCTGCCTCACGTATGTTGATGTTTTCTTCCTTGACTTTCTCTTCCTCGCTGCCTCACGTATGTTGATATTTTCTTCCTTGTCTTTCTTCTTAATCTTTTTTTTTTACATCTTCGCCTGCAGACGCATCTTAAAGATTTTACACTGAAGCTTCACTACCTTGCCGGCAGATGCTTATTCAAAACTCCACCCTAAAGTTTCCAAGTTGCTTACATTTTCAGCGTTATTATTATTATTATTATTATTATTATTATTATTATTATTATTATTATTATTATTATAATTATTATATCGATACCGTATATGATTATTACCATTACTATATACTATTATCATTAATAATATTACTATTTATTAAACATAAGTGTTCTGCCACAAGCACGTTTTAGTATTCATCCCTGTGGTAAATCTCCAGGCAGGCCGGGTGCATATTTTAAACTTCCAAGTCCACACTATGACGCAATTTTAACTTTTATAAAATGATGTTAGACCTTCCATACAGCTGTACGCTATAACTTTGCAGCAAAAATTACCATCACAGCTTAAATTATTTGCGTGAGACGATCGCCTTTACAAATTATAAAAACAAACGAGTGTACTAATTCTGTGTTGTACTTTTAACACGCAAATGTTTAATAGCAATTCATAATTTTTAACAGCAGTAAGAACTTCCTGCGTGGGTGTTTAAATAAAAGACATGTTTGAACGTTCAGTTATGTATTATACCTTGCGAGTTTACAGGGGCACAGTGTAAGACGTTTGGTAGCTGAGATCCTTACCCTGATAGGTTTCCAGTCATAATAAACTCAAAATTATAGGATTAGAACCAATTCCTAATGGGCCGTAGTCCCAAGGAGCCCAAATATTAGTATTTCCCTACTTAGTAGACCCAATCCTAATGGTCAGATGAGTTAGGTCAGGTTAGCGATAGCGTCTATTATGATAAAGATCCACTTGATTCACTACCAGTTTTTGACATAGGAGTTGTATTAACTTTCCTCCTGCCACACGCGTGACTCAGGTTCAGTATCGGACATTCGATGAGTTTGACAGATATCAGTTAACATTACACAGCATTAACAGTTACGTGGTTCCCCGTGTCCAGCGCCCCGTTGACCCACCCGTCCACCCTCATGGTAATACTCACGCTCTGCGACGAATTTCCAAACCGCTAAATTCATTTCCAAATCAATTTCCAGCAATCTCGTCAGGTTTGGATGAAAGTTTTGCTGATTGGATTGTGCACAGTTCCGTGTTCCGCAAAACAACGTCGGAGAGATTCATGTATATTTCAAAAGTCCCGGAGAGAGAAACACACACACAGTCAAACAACCAAAATAAAAACAACACAGAAAGACTTAAATATAAACACCGTGGTCAAGATATATGCTAAAGTTTGATCAATATCATTTATATTCACAAACACAAGCCAGTCAGAAGTTGATCCCGTGGTTGTCATAGTGCAGACTGTTATTAGAATAAGTGGGATTCCCATGTGGTCCTGTCTGCCAAGTGTGTGCACGCTGCGCTCTACTTCTGTGCCTTCACGTCCACAGATAAAACTCCCCTTGTAAAATACTGTATATCAGATATCCTCCTCCTGTCCATAATTGTAAGTCTAACACCCTGTTTTTGTATTAAAGGTCACAACACCGTGTACTACTGTAGAGCTTAAAAGTCACCATCCTGTTGTGCGTTAAAGGTCTAAATCCTAAACTGTATTTGTAAATCTACCCCTCATCCCGACCACCATTAACAGATTAAACAAGGTAAATAGCAACGATCTAGGATGTTCATTCTGGTTAAGGATTCTCTTTATTCTTCCAAGCCTCTGATCCTGTTACTAGAGTGAAGGTCCTTTAGTGAACTTTATGATAACACTCTACCTGTGAGTCTACTTGTGTTAGTAAAGCCACGGTCCAAAGTCTTATGGACCCGCTGCCCTTGCCACTTTAGACCCAAACCTTCCGTATATCAAAGTGATTTATCCCAACGCAAAATTTGTCGACATCTCTTATAAAAGGTCTTGAGTGAGCCAGACCCCTAGTAGACTCAACACTGTATGAAGTGGCTATATATTCCATTAAACCATTTAATTATTAGGATATATGAAAAAACAATGTTGTGGAGTAATGTGCAAAGGTAGACATACCTCTACACCTGTACCCGTGAAACAGAACAAACTCCGTAGCTACCGTGAGATATAATTACACTTGACCCTCTGTAACGACCAAGGTACTGCCATTATATTGAATATTCTATGAAATGTGACTCTAGTAACCCAAATGTTGTAGTTAACGTCACGTGTTGGCAGACCATCGGCCAAACTTCGACGAAGCTATATAATATTTCCCGCAAACTTAGGTCTTTACCAGTACTATAAAAAGGTGCTCAATAACTACAGCGATTCTTGAAAACTGGACGAAGAGTTTGACAATCTCCTCCTTCAGGTACACTACGGTACAAGAGTGTCTTAACAACTGTGCCCCAATGAAGGTAACTCAACCCCAGATGACACCATAAGCTGGATTTTAGACATTATCATAAAATATCTCAAAACAATCTATTTTATTATTCATGTTTTATCATAAGCTGGGTGTAGAAATTCTATTTTTTTTTGTCTCGGCATAAACCGGATCTGTAACCATAAACGAGAAGAAAGAGACAATATTCACCTTACATTCTCAACCCAACACTACCAGCCTCACCCCCCCCCCCAATCTCCTCCAGTTTCTAGACGAGAAAAAAGATACAACACTTACAAACGTCGGTCCAGCACAGTTTAGACAGCTGGAAACTTCCACACGACTTTCCCCGGGCACTATATTGCGTCATCAGCGAGGTAACTTGTGGCCAGCGACCGTTTTGTCTTTAGCCTCAAGTGACATCGTAATACCCCTTATATTTCTCTAGCTTTGTGAGCATCAACGTTCTAATAATGTCGGCTTCCCATGAATTGTTTTTTTTTTCGGGAATATATTCTTCCAGGGGCGAAAATCGTTATGCAAGAACATATGCATATTTATTAATTTATCCTTCCTTCGCTGGAGCGGTATATATTTACTTTTATTTGAGCGTAAAATAATAATAATTCTTTTATTTTATCACCTGAAGTAGCGTATATTTTTATTTTATCTCTTATTGTTTAATTGATTTCTTCTGATGTTTGTTGTTGTTTGTTCTTGCTATCTAATAAGGACTCTTAACTTCCTCATTATAGTTTGTAATTTATTGTGGAAACCTTACTGATATAAGTGTGCGCCCAACAAACACACACACACAAGAAATACAGAAGACTTTTAAAGCACATAATTGTACCATTACACGCCTCTGCTCACACACATGTGCGCATACCCAGACAGACAAAACCACACGCATATGTACACACACAGACACAGACACACACACACACACCTGTTCTGAATATCACTAGGACCACCTACCTCAAGACGCGACTTTATAACACTGGTTGATCGATTTACTTCTGGATAAAGAGGTTCCGCAGAGACCAGTGGAATCCAGGAACAAATCAAAGAGAGGTGAGGCGCCTTGGCTAATCCCCGGTTTGTTTAGGTTAGGTTAGAGTAGATTAGGTTAGATGAGGTTAGATTAGATTAGGTTAGATAGGTAGGTTAGATTAGGTTAGGTTAGATTAGATTAGGTTAGGTTAGGCCCCGATCCAAAGGTTAATAATATCTAGGTCGGAATTAGTTAGTTTCCAAGTATTAGTAATAAGGTTCGGAGGCCAAGGTTATTTAATACCCATGATGGAGAGTTCTGTTAGGTTACTGGACCGGTAATTAGTACTGACCAGGTATAATGAATTACCTGCCTGTGGATAACACTGACCACACCACATATGGGTGCCTATGTTCCCACTCACTAAGTTATCACCTTAAGAATATATACAAACTCTACAACACCTTACGTGCTCCTGGCTGGCCCTCCCAAAATTGCAGTAATCTACGACAATTTGGTTTTATTATGTTAAAATTATATTCTGGATAAATAACACACTCTGCGCTCACTATCAATATGTAATGACGGTACTGTACATCCAAGCTCTATTTGTTTACCTTCATCTTTAACAACAAAAGAACCCTGTTGTCTTGAGTAAAAACTGACATAGTGTTTTGTATTTAAAAGACGTTCCCTATTGACACGTTCACCCATTATAACAACCCATATTAAGATCTAAGCTTTGACTGATATAATATATTTCACTATAAACTTGTTCCAAAATATCTTAAGTACTTCAAGCTATATAAAGTAGGTTTGCTTTGATTAATTTACCTGATACTGTAAACTCTGATCTTCTCGAACCGGTAGTGCTGAGGTGTAAGACTAGTTCCCTGTCACTGTACTCCACTATACCACATTTTTAAGTTGATAAGCCATTCTTAAGTTCATTTCGAAAGTTTTCCTTATTTTCTCAGTGGAAAAGTTTCTATCACTTTCCTGATCAAGATAAACAGTAAACTAACAACCAAGAATTTAAGTATAAATTTTCAGGATAACTTTATTAGAGGTTGTGCCACTTGCACTATGGTATAGTTCAGTATCACCCGAACAACGGAGTATGACCTTCCACTCGATACCTCAACGTAACACTGCTGGGCCTGGGTGTCTCTTCTAGACCTGGCGAGGTTACCGCGCTGCCGGCACCTTCCGCGCAGTTATCATACCTTGCAGATTTCTCCTGCCAGACTAGGTCCGCGACAATTAAATGTACGGTATAAGGTTATCTGTCATCAGTATGATACCCTTAATGAGGTGAAGTATAAGAGTAATTTATAATTTAATATAATATTATTTAGCACACCAAAGATACCACACTGGACAATGTGCCTTTTGTATAGTGGTATTCCTGTTGTTTATGTTAATGCGGCAGAGACTACGGAGAATCAATCAAACAAACATTATATCCACTTTTGGAGCAGCAATAACATCTGTCAAGTGCTATTGTAGACGCCTGAGAAGTGGTGAACCTCTTTGGGGCTGTGACCATCAGGTCTTGTGCCATGCTGGACCCTCTCTCTTCCCTCAACAGCGTATTATAGTAGATTGCGTTTGACTCAAAACATGTTTTTCTTGCGGCTTAGAAGTATGAAATCGAATTTGGTGTCAACAACCTGTCATCGTGATGGGTGACTGACATTATAACTGTCAACGCGTAAGATATTCTGGCTGAATAACTCTACGGATCAACGAATGAACATTTAAGTAACTGACACCTTGACCCAGTACACATTAATTATACTAGTAGTTCATGACTGAAGTTGTGGCATGAGGCAGGTGTATCATGCACTCAGTATGACGTTGGTGATACATGACAAAAATTAAGGAAGAGATACACAGACAGACAGACAGACAGACAGACAGACAGGCAGTTAGATAGATAGAGAGAGAGAGAGAGAGAGAGAGAGAGAGAGAGAGAGAGAGAGAGAGAGAGGATAATCGTCTGATTAAACCCTAAAGCGCACTTTACATTATAACCAAGTGTAGCATAACCTTTTATTTTTTTTATAACCGGCTGGAAATTAGTCGGTACAAATATATGGTAAAACGTGTTTTAGTCACTAAAGGGCATCATGTCCTACCATAACATAACCAAACTCTACCTAACTTAGGGCAGGTACAGTAAGGTCACTATAGGAAGGATTGGTTACATTTATTTATAGTTTGATTGTATAGTTTATCGTCCCTATACATACACAACATCCATCACGACACATCAAGAGGCAACTAAAACAACACACAAAGAATAACAAATTTATGCCCTGTGGAGGCCGTCCCCTTATTGGGAGTTTCGACGAGATACTCCTTGATTGGCTTGACCTGGTTGGTTACGCCCACCACCCCTGTTTTTCCATTATCTTGTAGCCGCCTTTACCGCTAGCCTAGATTATCTCATGTTCACCCATATATATATATATATATATATATATATATATATATATATATATATATATATATATATATATATATATATATATATGTGTGTGTGTGTGTGTGTGTGTGTGTGTGTGTGTGTGTGTGTGTGTGTGTGTGTGTGTGTGCTATGTGTTTATTACATTTCTGATTATATAAAAGATTAATTCCGCGGACGGCATAAAATATTTTGAGCTGTAAATGTTTCTTGGTTAAGTCCACCATAAAAATTAAATCCAATTAGGCACCTTTATCCAGAACCGCGCTTCACCAAATTTATTTACGAGAACTTTCAACGTTCTCGTATTTTTCTCCATAGTGTATCAGCGCAGCGCAACAAAAAATAGAAAATAGTTAGTACTCTACAGTAATGGGGTAAGAATCAGGTGATGAGTTGATAAATAGATGATAATCAAACTATCAAAAATAACCATATGGAAACTATATGAAGAAAAACTAAATATATCTACATGTTGTAACTTAAAAAAATAATTCTGAATAAACGTAAGTGTCGGTAAAAAGATATATATATATATATATATATATATATATATATATATATATATATATATATATATATATATATATATATATATATATATATATATATATATAAGTATATATATAATTTTGAAAGAAATAAGTCAATAACAAAAACAATGAATGAATGATGCAATTGATCCAGTGTTAAGTACCAACTGGGGGTATAATAAGTTCCAATAAACATCGAAATCAATCTTTATTTCCACCTTTTATTATTATTATTATTATTATTATTATTATTTTTTTTTTTTTTTTACTACCTTCACCGTCAGCGAGGTTGGAGATTCTGTCAGCAGATTTTCGTCTTCCTGGAAAAGTTCTGGACATATTTCATGGCCTCGCGATCACAAGGATTCGTTCATATTTGTCTTATGTAATATCATAGAAACTCACGTACTGTACATGTGCTGTGGAGTGTTGTTCAGTTCATCATTAGTTGAATAAAACCTTTTATTGTGGGGGTGAAGCTGTTGAGCCCCAAGCACTTCTGTTGGTTGTTGTTGTTGTTGGTTTGTTTGTATGATAGTACATAAAATGGTCGACCAATAAGCACCAACAAACATTCAGTAGCTTATTTAATTGAGTAAAAAATATTTCATCAGTTAATTGACACATTCACTTCTT